AGGTAGACTGTATGATGGGTCCAGAAGATGTGAATACTCCTTAAACCCTTTGTCCTTCACTATAGAAAATGGCTGAAAGCCACAAGCAATCATTCTCACTAGAGCCTCATCAAGTTTGCTTTGTCTTAATGGATCCATTGGTCTTGTTACAAAACTGCTCATTGAAGTTTGCTGTTGTGGCCTCCTTGGCCTAACTGCTCCTTGGATGGTGGTGGGTGCTGCTGGTGTACTGGATACTGTAGATGTGGTCAGCATGCTAGCCAAAGCCGTCAAAGGTCCAGCAGAAGAAGTGTTGGTGGTAGAAACAGCTCCAGCTGCTGCAGGGCTATCATCTTCAGTCTCTGTTCTAACTTGTGCTAACAGCACAGTAGGATGTGAGGATTTAAGGTGCCTTCTCAAATTAGAAGTGCTTCCTCCTTTAGTTGAAAAACTTTTTTTGCATATGTTGCATTTTGCTTTAGTGGCTGAAAAGGAGTCCACAAAATTGCCACAAAATGAGTCCAAACATCACTCCTTTTTCTAGTGCTCAGTCTCCTGAGGTGTTAAAATCTGTCTGAGGCTCTTCTCTGTCCCTCACCTAGTGCAAAACAAAAGGGGATGGGTGTGGAATGGTCACCGTTCCCTTGGGGACAGTCTTGAGGGACAGTTGTCCTTCAGCTGAACCATTAGTTAAACCGGTGTGTGACCCAAGCACATTATATTTCTAAGTAAATCACTTTAACTCTCCAGTTTCATTTCAATTTGGGTTACAACTGTTGAAGCTGAAGTTATCATAACCTTAATGTTTTAAACTAACATTAATCATTCAAATTCAAAATGTTATTTGCTTTTACTTTGTCATTATGTCCTTTTTGACCAATCTTCTTATACAAATATTAGACCAATATGTCAAGTCTGCCTAGGAAAAACAATTATTATACCAGCAAACTCAAAACTGGAGTAAAAATGAACAAACTATAAGTACTTTGTAGTTGTAGGCTTGGATTATTATATTATATATCCTAGTGTTTGTTTACTGATAGTCAGACAGTGAAAAGACAAATGAATCAATATTTTATTTATAACAGGGTTTTATTTATTTATAAAATAACACACCACAGATCCGCAAGAAACCGTGACAGAAATGGACAGACCTTTTTGTATTTCTAGGAAAATGCTCATTACATATCTTTTGATCATTTTATGGTAATTCCTAAATATGAATTTAGGAAAATACAGTTTTACATTATAGTATTACTGACTGAGGTAATGGTCC